AAAGAGAAAATTTTCAATCCCCTTCTCTCATAGAACTTCGGTTTTCTAACTTGATCTGATGCAAAACGTGATGAAGAACCAACAAATTATTTACATCAAGCTGATAGTATGCGCGTCTTTTAACAAGCGTTTTATTAACAATGATGATAAATTGATCAGGTAAAATCTACGTCGCACTATTGAATCTTCGATTTCTCGTTGGTCAGACGTTTTCAAGCAATATGCAAAATAATGGTACGTAATTATACGGAAATGAAGATGCTGGCGCCATACGTGTATCAAACACTTGTTCGCCCGGTTCAAAAGCTGCGGAATAGAGTCCGCGAGACGTTTGCGATTCACGGGACGGTCCTCGCGCACATGCATTTGCAGGTACAGGTGCAGTCTCGTGACGTCACTATCCATTGTTCGCTGTTCTGCAAGCGGCGTGGCGGAGATGCGCGGATCCTACATGCGGTGCAATGACTGCATACCGCTTTTACGAGCCTTTCTTCGCCGAGCCGAGGTATGTTCTTTTTCGGACGACCGAACGGTCGCTCCTCTCTGCTTCTCGATGCCGGGAGCGACGTTGCAGAAAATCATGGAACATGCACGGCGGCTAAGACTAACGCATAGAGCGAATCCAGCAGCCTCTTTTCCTTCTTGAGCATCTCGGAAATGACGAGGGTCTCGAAAGAAGGATGTTAAAAAGAGTCCGATTTCTGCCCAAAAAGATGTAAGTAAATGGAATAGTGTTTTTTTTTTTTTTTTTAAATAGATTTTAACCTGAATACGATAATGTTAATAAAAAGTTCGGGATTGATACGGGACATCTTGGGAATGGAGCATAAACATGATCCATTTAAAGAAATTTCAATATTTTTGTTTATTTTTCAAGGTGTTCCCCAAATGCTACGAATTTTTTAATAATTTTATCATATTCAGGAGGTCAAAATCTACAAGAAACACTATTTCTTTCACTAATATTCTTTAGGGCAAAAGTCGGTCTTTTTTTAATATCCTCCAAAACAGGGCAGATTTTTATCCAAAAAGATGTATATAAAAGAAATATTGTTTTTTGTAGATTTTGACCTAAATATGATAAAATTATTAAAAAGTTATGAGAAACATGTGGAGAACACCTTGAAAAGTAAACAAGAATATTAAAATTTCTTTAAATATATCATGTTCATGCTTAATTTTTACGGTGTTTCCTGTCGATTTTATTAACATTATCGTATTCAGGTCAAAATCTACATATATAAAAAAATATTCCTTTTATTTACACCTTTTTGGGCAGAAATAGGCCTCTTTTTAACATCCTCCTTTATTATTGTGCTATAAGAGCAGTTTTAAGGAATTATCATTTTATCATTTTATTTTAAACGCTATACTTTTATTGAAGTTTACAGAACTCCCGCTGCTCGTATAATCCAAACGGAACAACAGGTCACAATAATGCCAAAATGACGTTAAAATGAATCGTGACTAATCAGAAAGTGACTTTTAACAATCATTTCAGAGCCAGTTGAAGACATTTTGAAGCTATTTTGATATCACGATTTTTTCTTTTGTTGGATACTAATTGGTGCCTTATTAAACTTCGATATCTATCGCGACCTTGTAAGGAAACGATTATCGTGCTCGTCCAATTGCTGCGAGATCTCATTTCTTCGGAAAGTCGAAACTGACGCGGCGCGGCGGTTCGGTCTCCCGTAAACGAGTACCTATGCATTTAATATACGATATCGTAACAGGAAACATTCACTGCTTTCGACCGCGAGGAAAGCCCGCGGTTCGTGCAAAATCGCGAGGTGTAAAACTTTTACCGCGGTGTGCGCTTTGCAGCCGTAACACGTACGCGTTTCAGGAGAAAGAAATTCGTCAGGGCACTCGAAGGCCCAGCATCCACGAAGTTGCAAGGCTCGGCTGCCGTGGATGCGTTGTAGTAAGCATGTGCGCGTTTGTAGCCGGTTCGACTACATTTTGTGACGGCGCACACCCTCTCGCACATCGCGCATACACAACGCGACGCACACAAAAGCATAATAAACGCGTCTCACACGGATGCGCACAATACAGAGAGACGTTCAAGAGGTCCCGAATCTCTCTCTCTCTCGAGTGGATCCGACACGAGGGGCTTGCGAGGCCTCACAACCAAACAGAGTCCATATGCAAAACACATGCGGAAAGCGATTGGCTCGCCAATAGAGACCCGTGTGAGGTTTCGAGACTCGTGTAACGAGCTCCAGCTCCCGATACGAAGCTCGAGGTCTCGCATTCTACTTTGTCGCATGTTGTTATCGAGCGATTAATTCGGGCCCGCACACACTTTGCATACCGACACTCTCGGGAGAGTTAGGGGGATAATGGACCGCGATGTAGGAAATAGCGCAAAATGGAGATTAATTGCGCACCCATAGTTCGCACGATCTTCGTTCAATCCGTTGAGCATGACGCTTGTTTTCTGCGTCCTGTTTACGTGAATTGAGGAGGAGGAAGAAGAGGAGGAAGAGGAGGAAGAGGAGAAGGAGGAGGAGGTGGAAGAAAGAGGAGATAAAGGGAGGCAGAGATAAAGTCGTAGTGCTAGATTACTTTCGGTGACATCACATTGTACCGAAAATAAAATATTGTAGCTAATCAGAATTTTTTAATAACGTCATCTTTAAATGCCACGTTTCTTTTGTTTACAAGCCATATTGTTAATATTTCATTCATATTTTAAACATATGTTAAATAGCTAGCTATTAAAATATATTAATATATATGAATGTATATACGACAAAAAAGCTATACGTTCTAAATATTTATCTAAAGTTTTATTAAAAAGTTTTATTATAAAGTTAAAATGTATATAATTTAAAAAAAAAAAACTCCAATATTTTTATTCTGTCGCTTGCGGCGATTGTAGAAACCTACAATTGTCTTAACTCGTAAATTAGCTACGATTACTCTCTATTACTTCTCGGCTAACAGGTCTGTATTCCCTTCTCACATTAAAGAGATGCTGCGTGAGATTGGATTCCTACGGGAATCCTTTAGCGATATGAAACCACAGGATGTTGAATCGAGATTCCAACATGGATACAGCCACCCACGTACGAACGTGTTCGTTCTCGACATTAGGCTAACATGATTTGATCTCCGACGATGTATATACGCACATACGCACGTACCTACATCCATCCGTTCGTTAATTCATTCGTCTGCTCGCCCTAATCTTCCCTTCTCGGACACGCCTGGAATTACAATTTCAAATACCCTAGCTGATTGTAACTTACACGCGGAATAGGTGAGTCTTTTTTTGGCGTAAAATCAAAGATGCTTTATAAAACGAGAGTCAGTACCGCGCTGCGATTGAAACCAGCTATTAATCGATAATTTTCTCGAAGTATTTCATACAACGGACTGTCGCACCATATGGTAAGCGGTAAAACGAAAATGTATGTATATTGGTTCTTCAAACATAATTATATATATTTATTAAACCTTAAAATAAGGCTAACCTTAAAAATGAGGCTTGATCTTAAAATAAAGTCAACTTGAAAAATGGTACCAGCTGTATATAATCGTGACCTATTATTGAAAATCTAAAAGAAAAGTAGGTCTATCAATCCTCGTGACCAATTTGATTTTTTATAAGCGGAACGAATATTCTTCTTTCTTGCAAAGAAGACAACATAGTTTCGTCCATAGAGGATGTCGTTAGGACAATAAAATTACAAGAAAATTATTTATATTGCGACAGCAATATACATGTAATACCTGACCGTCTGGCAACAAATTGCAACGATATTTACGATCGTGCGTGTATCGTATTTCTGCTACCAAGTATGGAGTGCAGATACGGGGAGCGTTTATGAATCGTAGCGTCTGGTGACTGCACCGCGCATTCAAATCACCGGTCAGTGCTCCGCTCGGCTATCTACCTCCAAGGCGAGTCGGAGATCGCATTTCGTGCCACGGAAATATTAACGTAAATATTGCGGAGACTTCTGATTGTTCCATAGAAGATCGTAATTACGATTATATTAATAATAACATTATCATGTTCTTCCGATAATTAGATGAACGTAACGTCGCCTTTCGATATTCGTAAAAAAAATATTTAGAAAAATTCTACAACTCTTCAGAAGTATTATACAACGTAAGGTTTCCATAAACCAAGATTCTACAAATCGTCGTGTAAATCAATTGACAATTTTATTATTATTCATCTTTCAATATTCCATTCTTTTACTTCTCATAAAAAGTGAATGGCACAGACGGACATATGTTTAGGACAATTTCATAATGTCATAAAGATGCTATAGAGGCCATTAGCGAGTTTATAATGTCTTGAATGGATTTATGTATTTTCTCATGTTAGTATTGATTTATATAAAATTTATTCTTTCTTATCTTATATTTAAGAAAGAAACAATAATTTACATAAATATGCGAGAGAAAGAGAGAGAGAGAGAGAGAGAGAGAGAGAGAAAAAGAGAGAGGGGGGGGGGAGAGAGAAGCACATAAAATTCTCATCAATACTCAAAATGGACACTTTTAATCTTTGCAGTACAGGAAAATCACTATAGTCGCGTTGAAACAGTCTTATATTTTGTGATAGTGTCATATTTTAAGGCAAGAAATTATAAATTATAATAAATCTTACTCAAGGAGAAGTTATAAAATTTTAAAAATAGACTACTGTTTTCTAAGAGATTATAATGTTCTCGTAATTTCTATATCCATTCAAGCTTGCTTGTATTATTATCGCAAATTATAAACGCTATTTTTTTAATTCTAAAAAACACATAAAAAGATTAACACAATCTATTAAAAATTTTAAAATTTTATTAAAGTTTTCTTTGCACTTATAAGTAATCAGAAAAGTGAAAGATTTAGCTTTCTTCTTTAAACAAAAGATTTTTTCTGAGAAGTATTAGTTACATAATTTTAATCTCACAAAGTATTTCGTAATTGTATTCTTTAGGATTAAGTGAAAAAAATTTTGTTTGATAATGTAATTAGCGACTTACCCTGACCGGTATTCTTAGATCCCCATGGCACAGTGCACACTGGTAAACACGAGTAATTTCTCTTTCTTTCTTTCTCTTTCGTCACTGATAATGTACCGAAATCCCAAAATCGTGCGCACGTTTCACTCGCGAACAAATCGCGACGAAGGGGAAAAAAAGAAAGAAAGAAGAGGAGACGAAATTAAAAAAAAAAAAAAAATCAAAACAAGAACTCGCGGAGGATGGAAGTTATAAACCGCTAAGAGAAACGCTGACGATCAGCACGTTCCGCGGCAACTTCCCTTACGATAGAAACGGACTTTGAGTCTCCGAAGTCGAGAGTCCCGGCCGTTCGCTCTCAGTGCAAAGGACCCACGGGTCTTTGCGCTTGCGCATCGGGGCCCCTCTACCGGTTGACAGGGCGAAAGGTGGGAGGAACGACCGGCAACCCCCTTTCCACTTTCCACAGCCTGCTCCTTTTCGCGTACGTGTGCGTGAGCATTATGTTTGTCTTTACCTGTGGGTGTACCTGTTCAGGTGGCAGCACCTCACCTGATAAGTGCACCTGATGGTAGGTCGAGGAACAAGGGAAGTGTAGAGCAAGGTGTCACGCTAACGCTGTCTATATCTATACGACTGATTTTTCGATATTTACAATGATTATTCTTTTTTTTACTCCACAAAAGCAATGTTGATAAAAACATTGCGAAATTTTTTTTTAGGACTTTTTTAAATCAAATATCTAAATAAATATTCTTCACTTTGATTTTTACAAGTTGATAGACGAAAATGTTTGATTTTAAAAAGTTATGGATTCTATTCTGTAACTCTTAGGCCCGGTTGCACCAACGTTACTTTAATTTTAAGGGAGGCTAAGAATTCTCTTTGTTCTTGTCTCTTTTCGGTTTTAAAACGAGACAGAGAGAGTTATTTAAGTTTCGCTTAAAATCAAAGTAACGTTGGTGCAACCGGGCCTTAACGATTTCGTCTTTGCGCAGTTTCTTTACTTACTAAAACCTGCGTAACAACAATTTAACGATATCATTACAGTCGTTAAGAATTATAGAATGGGGGTCTAATCTAACCCTATTCTGTATAAACTCTTAACAACTGTAACGATATCGTTACAATGAATCGTTGCGGAGATAGTTTTGCACATAGTGCAAATGCTGCGCAACAACGATGTAATAATATCGTTATATTGACCTTGCGCAGGTTTTGTATGTAGTAAAAAAGCTAAGTAAAAACAAAATGTAACGGTATCGTTGCAGCTGTTACAGAATAGGGTTGTAAGCCCCCTATTCTGTAACTCACTGTAATGATATCGCCACATTGTCGTTGCGCAGGTTTTAATATATGGTAAAGAAGCTGCGCAACGATACCGTAATGTAACGACGCCAACGCTGTCGTTAAAAGTTACGAAACACGGGCCTGCTCTAAGAGATAACAAGTGTTTCGACTTAATCATTTACCTCAAATTTTCTTTTCTTTTTTGTCACGGAATTCTTAATTCCGGCAGTATAACGTATGCAAACGAAGATTTAATTGCAAATTTAAAAACGAATTAATTTCGAACACCGTTTGTCCAATTACGTCAAAAGGGAGCGATTGTTACGTAATTGCAATAATTGCAATCGCGTCACCCTCGACCGTGCTGTTGCTTCCGGTCGAATTCTTGCATTCAACCAGCCGGGACGATAAGATCCGTAGGAATTCGCGACGTAACGCCTTATGTCTCGTCATTGAGAATCGTGGGGAAAAGGGAACCGTGGGGTGTCGGGTCGAAGGAAGGGAAGCTAGTGCTTCGGCGGACACTTCGATGCACACCGGTGAGCAACGCCGTATGCGTTAATAATTCCCTCGTCTTCCTTTCGTTCCTTCCACTTCGCTTTTGTGCGCGGTTGTGTTTGAAGAGGGTAAGACAAAGACCCTCAAATTCGCTCTCTCTCTCCTTTTCTTTCTCTGTCTACTCTCTTTCACTGCTTCCTTCCGCTCGTACACACGAAGCGCCTTTTCCATCTTTACAAACATACTCAGTTTTACAAAGGTAAAATATAACTTTTTGTACGAACAATATTAATATTGTTGAATTGACATAAATGGCGATTCTCTGCTTAGATTTATTATATATTTTTCATAGATTATTTCACTTTAATTTACTTTACGTGCGAATTTGACGTATCTCACGTAAATACAATGGAGCTTCTTAAAGAAATAATTTAGTTTTGATATGTCAAAATTATCGATTTTATATGCAACGATCATATAATGCATGCGAAAGGCAATTTTTAGCAAGAAGTGCCGAATAGAGTTTTGCTAGCACATTGTAGAAATAGCAGAATCATTTACCGACAGGTCGATGCACACGAGTGAACACGACGATCTACGGAATACGAAATAGTTACGGAAACAGTAGCGCATTATTTAGCTTTACGTGTTGCACATTCTCGTGCAGATGCAATAAAATTAGCTAGAAAGATGCTTAAGTTCTCGCAATAAACTTAAAACATTCGGTCAGTCAAATAAGATAAAGTTTAAACACAGTTTTTGCATGTATTTATTATTGAAATCGATAACTTTATAAAGAAAAATTGAATCGCCTGTTTAAAAAAATTTAAATATAATTAAAAAGATATAGTTTTTATAATATAAGATATATAACTTCCAGAATCGTTATAAATAACATTTTTTGAATTTGTAATATTCTAAATTGTATTTTCATGTTATTTTTAAAGTAAATAAATTTAACAAATTGAACGTCACAATTTGTTTTTCGTTAGATAAAAATGCAAATGTGTTTCTGTTTTATGATATAAATAGAACTTAAACTTTAAAGTTAATTATTGAAAAAGGTTTATCTATGTTTAAGCATCTTAAAACGGTGATCGAACATGTTAGCAATGTGTCCTTTCTCGGAACCGCGAGATTATCTACTTTTAATATTTGAGTTATGAATCATCGACGCACACATTTGCACGTGCGGAGTTCACAGAACGCGCCTTTTTTTTCGCATTGTTATACATCCACAGACGGGAGCGAGGAAAGAGACAGTCGCGCATACATTGTTAAAGAATTCGTGCACGTGCGTGGGCGTGTCGTATGCGTGAATAGCTTGGAATTCAAATCGAACGCAGGAAAGAACTACGTTTGTCAAGCACGTTCGGCAACTCGACACGGTAGTTAAAAGCAATGAGAGATCTATGAAAGTGAATTTCACGAAGAAGAGAGGAAAGGATACATAACTTTTTACAGAAATGCACGAGCTTCTAGTATGTAAGATGTAAACAGAGGGAAAGAGAGAAATAATATACGTAACATTATGATAAGAAAGTCTTCTTTTCGTTTCTTTTTTCAAGAAATTCAAATTTTTATGTGTAAAAGTAAAGCTTTGTTAAACAGCATATTTTTTAAATTACTTTTTGTCATCAGATCTTTGTTATTTTATTCTTATTAGAGTAGTCAATTACATAATATATTTGTAAAACAATAATAGCATTTACAGAATTAAATAAATTAATTGAAAATTACATTTTAAATAAAAAAAACCTTTATTGTGTGTGCAGATTCGTAATGTTACAATTGCTATTATACGCGTATTTACCCTCTATATATAATTATTTTATTTTTATGTATAAAATTTTTCTACAATATTTTATATAACATAATATTAAAAAGTGTTCTACTCAAACATGATACGTTACTGATAATTATTCAGCGGTAAAATAATACTTTCCAAATCTTTTGGAGTAAAATTTCACTCCAAAAGATCGAAAATTGAGCCAGTTTTGAAAAAAAAGTGAAAATATTTTCACTTTTGAACAAAAGTGACAGATTTCACTCTTTTGGAATGAAAATCACTCCAAGAAATGAAGTAGTACGATATCTCAAAAAGGAGATGAGATTTCATTTCTCTGGAGTAATTCTCATTCCAAAAGAGTAAAATTTTATTCCAAAAGAGAGAAAATTTACCACTCTTTTTTCAAGACTGATGCAATTTTTACTCCAAAAGATTGAGAGCGTATGTATAATTAAAATATATTTACAATTTCGTTATTTAGTTTCCTTGATTCTCTCTTGTGTAAACAGTTGTAATAATGATTGGCAATAATTATGTAGCAAACTTGTTACGAAAATTATTTGCATATGATTTCGACGACACCATTAACACCCACAACGTCCGTTACCTTTTCTGTCGGCGCTCGAACCTAGAATTATGCCGTTGCAAGTACAGGTTTATGCAACGGCATAATCGCATAATTCTAGATTCATGTTCCATCAATTGAATATCGGTTAAGTTTCTCGACTTCCTCGAAAACTATAGTATAGTAAAATATTCAATCTGTTTTACATTATAAAATAAAAGTGTTAAAGAGAAGCTTTTGAGAGCCAACACAAGTTGTATAAGTGTAATTACATATATTTGATTAAAAAAGATAAATATACACTTCGATTCTAATTTTGATCCAATATAAATTTAATATTCACAGAAAAAGATCATAAATAAACATTGTCACGCATATCGGAGTAACAATCATCAAGAATATTGATGTAAGAAAGTATAATAAATATGATCAAATATTGGCTAATTCTCATGTCTTTACATCTAACAAGATGTAATTATTTATTATATTCCAATAAAATGAACAGTATCTTGACGATTGTTATTCCAATATTCATGACAATGTATAAGATTATTTTTTTCTGTGAATATCAAGTTTATATACTAAAGAGGATCCAAATTAGGATAGAAATGTATATTTATTTGTTTAACAAAATATATGTAATTACACACTTTTATACAATTTGTGTTGTCAAAGGCTTCTTTTTAACATTTTAATTTACTCATTAGAGTTTTTTCTTGAATTATTTATAATATAAAAGCTTATATAGCAAAATGATTACGCCGTATTCTACATCAAATTTAATATTATAAAATGAAGAACCTTTATTAACTATTGCGCAAACTAGTCATAATGTGTACTATAAGTACAATATTTCTTCTTTAAAAAGATAACACCGTTCAACGATTATCATAAGTCGTATTGATAAAATGTACATTCCGGATAAAGGATAAAATTTAACAAGTGTATTTAGAAAATTCAAGTGCATTTAGAAAGTATGTTACAGATGCTACTTACAACATATAAACTTTGTAAATAATCGGTCTCGATTTTTGTTCGTGAATGTGCGCGCGCGCGCGCGCGCGCGTGTATGTGTAGATGTTATTATTATAACAATAATAGTAGCTGAAGAATCGAAGTCAAATCGAGCTTAACAAAAAGGGTACAGTGTAGCTTGAGTCTGTTAAGTAAACCATGATAAACGATCGGCGATAATGCACT